TTTGGTACCCATTTTAATTTTTGGGTCCATAATAGTTAGCATTATATCTAACTAACCACATGCATTTCATCCCTTTGTTCAGATTTCTTTTCACATAGCAATCACTTTTCAAATGCCCTCTTTGACAACAAAAACCACACATAATGGAAGAGTCCTTAACATGTACTGGTTTGACATATCTCAATCCACCTTTTCTATATGTTGTGAAACCATGTGCATTTTTGTTGTGTGCAAATGTTCTTTGAAAAATAGTAGGATGTGTAGGTGACATGTTCCTTTTGATAAACTCCTGCGTTCTTGCTTTCAAAGTTTCATCCAAGTTGTCCATTCTCTTTTTAAATCACCATGTCTTTCCTTCAGCAATTTACAAATATCTGTCTTTCTATCAAGCTCATTCTGAACATCAAATCCGGCTCTTACAAGACATTCATTGTCAGTCTTTAGTTGTTTATTTTGTTGAAGGAGACAAGCATTTTCATGAATGAGAAAAGCAATTTTCTGTTTTAGCTGCTTGTTCTTATCATAAGATTCCTTCAAAGCATTATGCAGTTTTTCAACAAAGGATTCAAGATCATCATCTTCTTCATCATCACTTTCAGATTGAGAGTGTATGGAAGTTACCTCATTATCTCCAATAGCCATGAAGGCCATTTGAGCTGATTCTTCCTCTTCTTCAACTTCCCCTTCAGAGTTGCATTCATTCCAAGTGATCTGGAAGTTGTTGAATCTTGGCTTTCGATCAGCTTTTCCATCTTTTATTTTCTTCATGGGGCATTCGTTTGCATAGTGTCCAGGCTGTCCACATTCATAGCATTTGTCCATTTGCTTCTTGTTGAATTCTTGTTTTCCTTTGTTTTGTTCCTTGCATTTGATGAATAATTTTGGAATTGATTGCTAGGTCCTCCCTTTCTGAACTTCCTTTTATTCAAGATTCTTTTGAAACCTCTTGTGATGAGAGCAAGATCATTATCATCACCATCCGAATCTTCATCATCCAAGTGAATTGGATCATCTTCACTTTGAGTAGTTTTTAGAGCAATATTTCTTTTTGCTCTAGCATCCTCTTCCTCCTGCACTTTAGATTTCAGTTTTAACTCATAAGAGGTTAGTGAGTTAATGATAGATTCAATAGGCACAGAACTTAAGTCCTTAGCCTCCTCTATTGCAGTCACTTTATTTTCCCATTCTTTGCCCAATGCATTGAGAATTTTTCTGTTCTTCTCTCCCAAGGTGTACTCTTTGCCCAACACCTCGAGATCTTTGATCAAGTCAGTGAACCTGCAAAACATTTTGTCAATATCCTCAAGAGGTTCAATCTTAAAAGATTCATACTTTGTGACCAAGATGGCCTTTCTCTGTTCTCTCACATTGTCACCACCCTCATGGATTTCTCTTAACTTATCCCACATTTCTTTGGTTGATTTACAGCCTTTCACTCTAATTGATTCATTTGAATCTAAGGCACTATAAAGAACATTCATGGCCTTGGCATTCAATGTGAGGTTAGTCCTGTCTTGAGCATTCATTTCAGCTCTCATTTTTGGCCGAAGCAGCCCTGTATCTGCATCAAGAAAGTTAGCTTCATGCGGTCCTTCACTCACAATAAACCACAGTTCAATATCAATAGATTGTAAAAAGATAATCATCCGTTCTTTCCAGCTAACATAGTTAGAGCCACTGAACATGGGAGGCCTAGTAACAGATTGCCCCTCAACAAACATAGCATGATTGGTTGTCATCTTTACTCCAAGCCGTTAGAGCTTAATCTCAAGGAGACCAAGCTCTGATACCAATTGTAAGTCCCAAAGACAACCAAGAGGGGGGGTGAATTGGGTTATTCAAAATCTTAATCAGATTTAGGCAATTTTTGCTAAATGAAAATTTACCTTCTTTTCTAGTAATGATCAACCAAGTAGATTAGAAGTCAAGAGCAATATTGATCAGAAACACAAGTATAGACAAGCAATGAGAATTTTATTAAACAGAAAAGTAAATTGGGGAATCAAACCAAGTGTCTACCAAGCTATCCTCAAACTTGAAGACCACACACTAGGAAGAGCAACTTCTCTTTGATGGAAGACGATCAACTAGATGTACAATGGAGGGAGCACTTCCTCCTTGCCCTAAACCTCACTTAGTCAAGCTAAGAAGTTTTACAATCACTCAGAAAAGCCTCAACAAAGCTACACTAAAGATCCTTTCAATCACAAAAGAAATGCTCACCAGAAATTCACACCACTTTAAAACAAATCTACTTTGGAGACTATTTTCTAGCTAAAATATCTCTTGAGAACTTGTAAACAAAGTGTGCAAAAGTTCTTCCTTCGTTCAGAACAGTTTGTTTTTAAAGAGGAACAGAAATGAGATTCATTAAAGCTTCCAACGGATAGAAGGCAGATGAAGGGTCAGCTAGCCGTTGGGGCTTTCGGACGTCCGACGATCAAATCATCGTCCGAACCAATCGTCCGAAAATAGCCAAGTTGAAGTTCGGACGTCCGATGGAATTTTATTGTCCGAGCTTCTGTGTCCGAACGTCGTCCAGAGAGTTCTCAAATCTCCGAGGAATTTTTAGGACGTCCGATGATATTGATGTTCGTTCGAAGCATGCGTCCAATCCTTTAGGACGTCCGATGCCTCCTTGCGAGCGTCCGACAGTGTCTTGGCAGAGAGTCATCAAAGCTTTGTGGAATTTTTAGGACGTCCGACACGATCGATGTGCGTCCGACAGAAACTCCTTCCAGATGTTCTTCATCCCTTCGGACGTCCGACAGATTCCTTTCGGCCGTCCGACATGAGTGTCCTGTTTTTGCTTTTTTTTTTGGTTGATTTGCATTTCATGACATTTTAGTACCTGATTCTTTGATAGGCAAAAACACTTATATTTGAAGAAGGTTAGATAGATATTTCAAAGAACTTTTGTGATCATCAAAACCAAGAATAACAGTTTCATCCAATCCTGCATACCAAACTTGGTTACGTCAGGACAAGCTATTGTTTGGTACCCTCGTAGGCACCCTTTCACCCTCTCTTGTCCCTCTTATCACTCAATCCCAATCCTCTCTTGAAGCCTGACAGACTCTAGCCAACACATATGCTCACCCATCCCGCGGTCACATCAAGCAACTTAGAGACAAACTGAAACATATCACCAAAGGCGCTTAGTCCGTCACAGAATATATGCAATCCATCAAAACCCAGGCTGATGAACTTGCTGCACTTGGGAAGCCACTTGATCATGAAGATTTGGTTGAAAAAGTGCTGGATGGCCTTGACGAAAACTATCAGTCCATCATTGATGCTGTCAATGGTCGAGACTCCACCATTTCATTCGATGAACTTCATGAAAAACTCTTAAACAAGGAGCTGTCTTTACGTAACCTGTACCGGCATCCACTCATGCTACCACTGTCCATTCCACTCCGTGGTATGGTACCAAACGACCTCCCTGGTCTGTTAACAATCAGTCTTCTCAATTGCCTACACCAGCGCCTGCCCAGCCTCAAGGCCCGCCAAACTCTCAGACCAGTCGTGCTGCTCGCCCATTCCTTGGCTGATGCCAATGGTGCAGCACCCACGGCCATGTTGTCTCCCGCTGCCCTCTATTTCGCCAACAGTTTCCTCATGCGCAACCACCTTCTCGTCACACTGCTTCACCCTCCGCTGTCATATCTCCTCCTTGGCAAGCACAGGCCCATGTAGCAACCCGTCCCACATCCGCCACTCCCAACACACCTTGGCTGCTTGACAGTGGGGCTACTCATCATGTCACCACTGACCTCCACAACCTTGCTCTCCATAGTCCTTACAATGGCACTGATGAAATCATGATTGGAGATGGCTCTGGTCTTCCCATATCCCATACGGGTTCCATCTCTTTCAACACTCCCTCCTCCTCCTTTACTCTCTCTAATGTCCTATGCGTTCCAACCATGAAACGAAATTTAATTTCTATTTCCCAATTCTGCAAAACTAACAACACTTCCATTGAATTCTTACCCTCTTCATTTTTTGTGAAGGATCTCCGCACGGGGGCACTCCTTTTGGAAGGCCAGACCAAGAATGGGGTCTATGAATGGCCGACCTCTCTTTCGAAGTCACCATTGCTTGCTTTTTCTAGTGTCATGGCTCCCCTGCCTGCTTGGCATCATCGATTCGGGCATCTCTCTTCGTCCACCTTCAAGCATATTCTATCAATGTCTCCTTTGGATGTTTCCTCTCCACCTGATCTCCATTTTAATTGTAATTCCTGTCAGTGCAATAAGAGCCATAAATTACCGTTTTCTTCCTCTTCACTCTCTACCTCCTCCCCTCTTGAGGTTGTCTTCACTGATGTCTGGACATCACCCATTATTTCTGTCAATAACTACAAATACTACATCATCTTTGTTGATCACTTCACCAAATATATTTGACTATATCCCTCAAACGCAAATTTGACACACGGGACGTTTTTATCAAATTTAAGGCTCTCGTTGAAAAATTCTTTGCTCGCCCAATCATCACCCTTTACTCTGACAATGGGGGGGGGAATATCAAGTTCTTTCTTCCTTTTTAACCATTAACGGAGTCTCTCATCTTACAACTCCACCCCACACACCTGAACACAATGGGTACTCTGAACGCCGTCATCGTCACATTGTTGAAACCGGTCTCTCTCTGCTCTCTCATGCTTCCATGCCTCTATCATATTGGCCCTTTGTCTTCTCCACCACTGTCTACCTCATCAACCGCCTTCCCACGCCTACTCTACAAAATGGTCTGCTACGTGTGTCCCACGTCTCTGCCTCTGATCAACTCGCCGTTGTTCTCACCAAACCCCTTGCTCGCTCTCAATTTGATTCCATAAAGCTCAAGATAGGACTTGCCTCACCGCCGTCCATCTTGCGGGGGCATGATAAGAATCCTCATCCTCCACAAACTAATACTAGATAGAAGGTAGAACTCTAGCTGCTGATTACATATAGAACTCTGTCTAGTGTAGGTTCCTATCTCTGGTGTAACTAGGTTCCTATCTCTGGTGTAACTCTCCCACCTTTGTGCTGCCATACGTGTATATATATTGGGTTACAATGAATGAGATAATATATATAAAATTGCTCCAGCCAATGCCTCTCTGTTTCAGCTTCTTCAATGATCTTCAAGGAGTCGCCCTCCAAAATAATCTTGGGCACCTTCCACTGAAGCAGTAAGGAAATTGCAGTTCTTGCAGCATAGGCTTCGATGACCTCAGGGGAAAAGATACCAAAGATTTTGTGGGAAGAACCTGCAACAAAATTGCCCCACTCATCCCTCACAACTACTCCAACACCAGAGTAGCCATATTCAGAGAATACTGCACCAGAGTAGCATGTTTTGGCTGAGATCCAGAGTTGCAAGTGAGGGAAGATATCCTATTTGAGAAGGAATGCTATCGATGAGTGCATTTTGGCTCAAGTTTAAGTCCAGCAATTGTGTGCAATTGCCTATTTGTTCTGGAATTGAACCGCTAAGATTATTGGCCGACAAACTAAGGTTTAAAAGTCTAGACATCTGACCAATTTCTGAGGGTATATTGCCTGAGAGATTGTTGTTGTGCAGCTTAAGGTAAAGCAACAAAGTCAGCTTCCCCAAACTTCTAGGGATCTTTCCATGCAAGTGATTTGTGGAGAGAGAAAGTTTTTGCAGACAAGATAACTCTCCAAGCCCAGTTGGTATTCTGCCAGAAAGATTATTGTTCGAGATCTCCAATGCTACCAAATTTAGATAGGCACTCCATTTCGAATATGCACTCCAATTCGAAGATAACTCACCAAAAAATTTATTTTTCCTTAAACTAATAAATTCTGCATTTGCATATACACCAAATTCTTCAGAGATATTTCCTGATAGTTGGTTCTCACCAACACCAATAGTTGTTAAACTAGAACAGTTTTTTAAGCTCCTTGGCATAGCACCGACAAAGTTATTTATAGATACTATGAACATCGTCAGTGAGCCACCAATACAAATATTTGCGGGTAAATGACCTGTAAGATAGTTTTGGGCCAGTGTTAACACATTTAAATGTGTAAGATTGTTAAATCCATCTGGAAGAGCACCACTTAGCTGGTTTTGAAAAATATGAATATAAGCTAATAACTTCAATGTACCCAATTCGGGAGGAATTGCCCCATATAAGTTGTTTCGAGAAAGTTCCAAGTAATAGAGATTGGTTAGATTTCCTATGGCAGAAGGAATCTGTCCGGAGAGCTTGTTTCCAAAAAGGGATAATGTAGTTAACTTTTCCAAATCACCAATAGAATTGGGAACATTGCTGGTGAGATTGTTCTCATCAAGTGCAAGCGTTTCAATGGATAAGAGGTTCCCAATTTCTTCTGGAATGGGGCCGGAAAGAAGATTTTTGGAAAGATGCAACAATGTCAGGTTACCTAAGTTTCCAATAGACCGCGGAATGGAAGCCATGAGTATGTTTTCAAATAAAATGAGTTTGGTAAGAGATCTGAGCTTCCCAATCTCTTCTGGAATGGATCCAGAAAGATGATTTTGGAAAAGATACAGCCGAGTCAAGTCACTTAAGTTTCCAATAGACAAAGGAATCAGACCTGTGAGCATGTTTTTAGCTAAGGAGAGTCCAGTCAGGGATCCAAAAAGCAGTTCTGATTGAAGATGACTCAAGTTGTCTGTCGTTATCAACATCGATCCATGTTCTCACCTATCATCCAAAAGTCCGGGTTAATGATCAATAACTATGATACTTCAAATTGAATGCCTTGTTTATAATTCTCGAGGCTATGTATGTAATACTAGTATTGAGCTTTTATTTTTGGAATACCCAAGAGAATAAATCTTAGTAATCTAAGACAGCTCCAATCCCTGTGGTCTACCTAGAAGATTAAAATCTTTGTTGTAAGTAAGTAGGGAGTATCAGATTTTGCTCATTGGTGAACATTTTTGTCTTTTTAATTTTTTTCCCTTGAAAGATAGTGAACATCATTTTCATTCTCCATAAAACCATGCATTTTTCAGCTTTCCTTTTTTTTTTGGTGCCAAACAAGATAAGCACACAATATAGAGAAGATGGACTTGCTATAAAATTCAAACATTATCATCCACTACTCTTTAAATTGCATGAACTTTTGCCTACAACATCTAGATTTTAATGGACAACTAAATATTTGGCCTACTTTTGTCTCGTGCCTCCCTTATATCCTATGCCTTTAAGACATGGAATAGATCCCATATTTTTATTTTTGGGCTTATGCTCACAAAAATACTCAAAAGTTGAGAAAATTGGCACTTAATTCATTAGTTTACCAAATAAAAACTACTATCCAAAATTGTCCCCAGTCTCATTAGTTTATCAAATAAAAACTACAGTATTTGAGAAAAATAACAAATTTAATTTACTTATTTATTTATTTATTTCTTTACGTGACAAGCCTTATTTTTTAGGTCTTTACCCCTACTCTGACGGCAATTAAGATGAGTTTTAACCTTTAACATAACGTCCGAGGTCTTAACGTGCACGACATGGTCAAGTGAACAATATTCTCAGCCTTCATGCTGGAGGAGCAAAATCTTCTTATTTTGTTTCAGAATTTAGTTTAGTCACTTGTTTATTATTATTATTATTATTATTATTATTATTATTAGTTTAGTCCTCCTCCTAATAAGCACATAAGCACATAATATAGATAGATAGCACATACTATAAAATTCAAATTCTTTCATCCCTCCCTAAATCGCGTAAACGTTTGCCTACAAAATTTAAATTTTTATACACTATTAAACATTTAGCCCACTTTTGTTATCTATAAAAGAAAGCAGAAAAGCCTTTAAATCTCCAAGTACAGCAATCCAATTTAAAGGATTCGTTGCCCCATGCAGACGTTTTCCATGACTTAAATTCTCTTTCCTATATAGGTCTTTACCTCAACTCCTACGGCAATCTAGTTGACCTTTAACTCGGAACGTCATGTTTGGGCTGATCTTGTAAACTGAAGCCCATTCCGAGTCTTCGCGCCGAAAGAGCCTAGTGTTCTTTGATTCTCAACTTCTTGATAGTTTTTAAAGCTTGTTTAAATATGGCTAGTTTTGTTTCAGAATTTTAGTGTGGTTACTTTATTATTTTCTCCCTTTGGTGCTCATTTTTTCTTCTTCCTCTTGTAGGCTACTTTTAGTCCTTTAACATCTTCCCATGCAAAAGTAGTTAAAAAAAAACCAGCATATCTTTCTTGTTAATTTAAGAAAAAAAAAAACTATTCTGAAGTTCTAAACAGCAGTAGAATTCCTTTTACTAAAAGAAATCTAATTTGTAGGCCCAAACTCTATAACCGATTCATACCTACCACAAGACGAAATTCTTCTTTCAAATGATTTTCCATTTGCCACTTCCTACTCTCAAGGAGAGATCGCCCAAAATATAAACTCAAAGATTTGGAAAGTTTAATTTTGCAAAAAATAAAAATAAAAATAAAGAAAATATTTGGAAAGTTTTATTTGTTGGATATATTGATGTAGTTTGTATTATTGTGATTCACAATTTGTCCCCTCCCAAATCATAACTGCAACCAGTTAAATAATTGGGTAGCGCAGGTTTTCACCGAATTGGTGCGTCCCTCTTTGCATTGTGTGGTTAATACTTAATAATGGCTGAAATAATCAGTAAAATTTTTCCCCTTTTATAATGAATATTTGAGAATGTGAAGTACAAGCAGCCGTGTTTCCTCATCTTGACAAATTCAACTTACTGTGACGTGATGTTATGCAATGTCATTTTCATTTATTTGTTTTGATTTTAATGTTTTAGAGAGAATAATAATTTTTCATTTACAGGAGAAAATTGACAACATAATTGGTCAAGGTCGGAACCGAGACGGCAGAAGTAACGGTCACGACACAAACATCCCTTGAGGATTGAGCAGCAAAAAATGTCAATTTTGATAAGCATAAAATAAGAGAGTTGAAAGAATTATAAGCAGCAAAGCAACAGAAAATTGGAGTATATAATTATAAATTAAACTTTTGGATGCCTAAATGAAAATGCACATTCTACCGATCCCAATTTTGATCTATCCTATCCTACCAACTAAGAAGGGAGAGTTCCTCCCTTAGCTACAGTAAATGTTAGTCCCCTATTAACATCATCAGGTGGGGAATTTCGAGATTATATTACTGTTTACTTTGGGGAGATCAGTGGGGATTTTTGGACTTCTGTTTTATACGATGCAGTTGCGGGTATGTGTTTTTTCTTTTTTCTTTTTTAAAAAAAAAAACTTAAAAAGAGATTTTTATTGAATAGAACATGAATGTACACAAGGGCAAAGGAATCTGCTATACAAAAAGTACTACTATAATCAATTAAGCTATCCAAAAGTACTGCTACAATTAACTAAGCTATGGCTATGCTATCAATATTTAAGGAAAATCTCATAACGAAAATTCCCAATAAAACAAAATAGCTAGTTGTCTCTTGTACTTGATACATTCATCCCATTCTACCATATAGCTGTGAACCTGCTTTAGCACTCTGCCCGTGTTTTACTATATTATCCCTCATCTTTGAATATGCCCTGCAGTGTGGATAGTGTTATTAATGTTGGGAATGGTATTATTGTCTTTTGGAGTATTGAACAGCTTTGGAGATGTGAATTATTCAGTGGTCTTCCCACTAACAAGGCCTTTTACTTCTCTTCTTCTCTCCTTCCCTAAACACTTAGATGTTGTTTGGATTATAATTTTTCAAAAATTTTTAAAAATAAAATTAGTGTAGCGCTTTTTTAGGATATAATGTAAATATGTAAAAGAAATATTCACAAAAAAATAAAAAATTTTCCCTCAAAACTGCAATACAAACAGGGCCTTAAATGGAACCCCGTCTCCACTTCGGCCACTTTTTCTTCCAAACGGGTCATGGGGGCAATAGTAATTAAATTGGCTAAAGGAAGAAACAGACAAGATAGAATAAAGTCAACTCGTGCATTTCCCTAGCAATCTGATAGTAAGTCACTTTCAATTCAACAATAAACGAAAATTCAAAGTAAATGCAGTCAACAGAATCTTGAAGCCAGAGGACTAACACAATCGCCACTAGTTGCTAGAACAATTACATAAAGACTCTCAATTGATCATGAAGTAGATTTTGTTAAGAAGAAACTATAACCATGTTTCCAGTCCACATCTTTGAACTTACTTTTCCTCACCGTTGTCTGTCTCATAGGTCTCGAGAAAAAATTTCCAGTCCACATCTTTGAACTTACTTTTCCTATCCATTGTCAGTCTCATAGGCCTCGACAAATTTTTTTTTCCTTTTTCTCGATCAATCTAGTATGCTATTGTCACGCCCCAAACACGAGTCCTCGGATTGGATTTGCAATGTATCACATTGTATTTGTGAGACCGTACTCCAAATATAAGATGTCATGATCATCATTTATACAAATCATGAAATTTAAAACTTACATTACTAATGAAATACATACTATATTCAAACCAATACATCTGCTATATCCTTACTATATACCAGTAGAGTGAAAACGTCTATCTATCTATCTTTCTCTTATATTCTAACTGTATATTATTCTTCTTTGTTGATCTATAAGAAAAATAAAGAAAACGTGCGTTGAGCAACGTATACCTAGCAGATAGTACTTACTCTTTTGTCAGATCCTGTAAATAAGTACATATTATATATATTTATAAATTTGGTCACACAATACTATATGCATAGAACAAATAAAGACATTTGGCAATTTTTTGCATATTACAAATACATATTTCATTGAGAGTAAGTGGCATACACATAAATGGGCTAAGTCCAGCATCGCACTTAATCCTGTAGGTTCTAGAGGTGGCCTCCTCGAACGTGACATGAAAATACCTAACATGATATGATCATGTTCATGAAAATTTCTCGCAAATCATAAAACATGTCAATCATGCCATCTCATTTCATAAAGTATAGCTCATAAACGAGTACATGCAATATTCAGTTTCTGACTACTCAATATAGAGATTAGTCCCTTCCAGAAGGATGGTAAATCAAGTATTTTCTTTGGATTTCACTTGATATACCCATACATGAGTCAATCGACCAGGTACAATGGCTACCATGACCAATCATAAACTGTTCAAGCCTTTTGCCTGATTTTTACTTGATTGTCATACAAGACAAGATTACAATCCCTACTGTCTATTTCATGATCATTCAGAACTTTCATAACATAAACTCATTTCATGCATCACATGCATTTTTCTTTCATGAAAGTATGCCAATCAACTCATATTTTATAGCATTACAAAGTACTTCTTTTTTTTTTTGGCAAAAACCCGTACACGGGGAAAGATGCCACACCTAACTTTATTATAAGATTTGCAGAACTAAAGCAGTTTATACAAAAAGGAAAGCATCAGGAGTACCACTCCCTTACATGGACTCGTCTAATTCCTGCATACATCGAAAGATCTAGTGAAGCCAATGCTCAAATATGCTTAGGCAACTTCGTTACAGAGTTGAACAGAAACAAGCCCTAATTTTGGAGCCTAGCCAAAGCATCCGCCACCCCCATTCGCTTCCCTATAAATGTGTTGCACACTTCCACTTACAACGCTCAACAAGCACATAATTTTCTGGAGCACATTGCAAAGCGGCTAGGTAGCCAACTTATCGGATTGTATCAGTAGGAAAAGAACCTATG